ACACCGAGAGCATTTTATCCATCAAGTTTTTTTTCTTTCAAAAGTGGGGGAGGGGAGGTGTGGAGGAGGCAGGTTTTATGTGTTTTAGCATTAGCTCCTCAGGTGGAGGCTACTTTGAAAAAACATAGTTTGGTAAACATTTTTTCTCAATGGCTATGGAGGGCATGAGACCAGTGAGCTGGGAAAGAGGCCTGACCAAAAAAATGGTTGGAGGATCAGAAGATCAACTTTGTCAGTGCAACAGTTTTACCTAGGAGAACCTTTACCGGATTGAGGTGTGAGGATTAGAAACAGCAAACATCACTTGTGTTTACATGAGAACTGTGGAAACTTTGCAGCCTGACTGCAGTGACCTCAGTGTAAGCAAGGACAAATTAATGCCAGTGGCCATGCATAACCTCAAACTTAGGTCAGCACCTCATAAAGACAACAAATTGCAGGGCTCAACTAATTGAAAGGGAGCTGTGCCTACCTAGAATTTGGGCTGTGAAGACCAAGACTTTTTATATTAAGCTTTGAAAAGTGATTTAAGGGCACTTGGGTGGCTCAATCACTGAAGTGACCAACTTCAGTTCAGGTCATGATCTGGGGGTCGGGCCTTGTGCCCTGACAGCGAGCAGCCTGCTCAGGATCTTCTGCCTCCTTCTCTCTGCCCCTCCCCGCCACACGCACGCATGTTCTATCAAAAATAAACATTAAAAAACAAAAACAAAAAAACAGCATTGAGTGGGGCACCTGAACCCAGGCCGTTTCACAGGTATTATTTCCCACCTCAGTACTAAGTATGACGTTACTGCAACCAAAATTTGTTGAACACTTAGCCCTGCAGCAGTGTTGGCGGAGTTACATACAAAATCAGTGCAACACAATCCGTTGCTCACGCGCACACAAAACGGCTACTTGGAAAAATAGGCAAAGAAAGGAAGTTAAGAACCAGAGTATACAATATTAAAGCGTGCACTGACTCATACATACAGCAGTAAGCACGGTAAAAACCAGAGAACAGGTAGTATAGTGACATGGACTAAATCAAAAAGGGGTTCGAAGCAAGTTTTACAAGACAAGTAGAAGGAGCAGTATAAGGTCATGTTCTGGGTAAGCACAAACATGCCCCGAGTTTGGGGAAGCTACCATATTTAAACCCAAACTGATGGTGGCTAATGCTTAACTGGACCAATTCGGAAAATAACAAGTGCCTTCTCTCCCGCTATCCACCGACTTCCTAACATAAACTGACCGTCCAAAAGACTTCCACTCCCACAAAGGCAGAGCCGGCCAAGGGACCCATCGCTCTACATGCTGGGGCTTGTAGTCTCCTCAGAGACCCAATCCGCGCGCTCTTCAGGGCCGGGCGGTGCCGCCTTCAGGGATCCTCTCCCCGTGGGTGGGCATTGGCTTGCGGGGGAGCCAATGAGGCCACAGTAACGTGGCAGCCACCCACGAGCCCGCGTCTCAGCCAGCAGGGTCCGCGAGGCGGGCTCCGCCCCCCACGGGGACCTACTACACGGCGCCGACCTAGAGGGGGGAAACAGGCCTCGCCTCCTGCCAGGAGGCCTGTAGGAGCCCCGGTTCCCCCCCGCGGCCGCGCTCGGTGGAGGCGCCGGTGCCCACGTTGACGCGTCCCCACCCTCTTCCGGCCCTCGGCTGCCCGGGCCGCGCTCGCTTCGCCCGGTGGATGCTGCGCCTCTCCGAGCGGAACATGAAGTTGCTCTTCGCCGCCGCCCTCATCGTGGGCTCCGTCTTCTTCCTGCTGTTGCCAGGTCCTTCCACGGCCGACGAGAAGAAGAAGGGGCCCAAAGTCACCGTCAAGGTCCGTCTTCCCCTATCCCAACCTTCCTGGCAAGGCCCATCCTCCGTCCCCCGGGTTCCGGCTTCGGCGCCGCTGGTTAGCGGCGTCCGAGGCATTTAGGCTCCCGGAGCTCAGGCCCAGGCGTCCTCAACTTTGGCTCAGCCTCTCCCTAGGTTCTCGGCTGTGGCCTCGTGGCGTCCGTGCAGTCCTGCTCGTTGAGACCGGGGAATGCTCGGCTCCTCCCCAACACCCCAGCCCTTGCCATGATTCAGGAGCCGACGCCGGGCATGTCCAGCTGGGGCTGCCACTGTCAGCCTCAGAGCAGTCTTTTTGCAAATACTGTCCAGCGCTGGGGAAATGGTGAAAGATCACGTCTGCCAAACAGAATCCTTTCTTTACTTGGGCCAGGTTTTACCCACTTCCAATTACAAAACACAACAATCTAGTTTAAACGTGCGTGGCAAGCTTAGGCTCTTCTCTTTATGGTTTTTTGATGTTCATTTCTAGAATCTGTGCTCATTATTTATTTAGACTAAAGGTGGTTTGGCACGCTATAATCTTAAGGAGAGCGCAAACATTTTCTAGTAGAAGGGTCTGGAGTCCTCATTAGATTCTCATGGTAGAGTTTTTGTCACTACCAAAATCAGGTTCGGAATCACTGTTTTCAAAATACCGTTCTGTTCTCTCCTACCTTCATGGTAGCTTCTTGGCCCCTCCCTTCCCTAACAAGGCCCCTTTAAAAAGGCTGACTTTGAAATGGTGTTCTTCCTCAGGTGTATTTCGACCTGCGAATTGGAGATGAAGATATAGGCCGGGTGGTCATCGGTCTCTTTGGAAAGACTGTTCCAAAAACAGTGGACAATTTTGTGGCCTTAGCCACGGGAGAGGTAAGTGACCAGAGCAGAGGTAGTCAAACTCAAATGAAGTGAAATTGGCAAGTAGGGCTGGCAGGAAACTGAAGTGCAGAGCGTGGCCCAACTATACCAGGAGTACTGCTCCTGTGAGTACCCTCACAGAGTACTGCCGACCCATAGTACTGGGAACCACTATTAACACATCTTGCGGGTTTTATAAACTGAATTCAGAAATAGATTTTTTTTTTTTTTGAGAAAATTATTATTTTTGTTTATAAATTTTTTTTTTTAACGTTTATTTTTGGGACGGAGAGAGACAGAGTATGAACGGGGGAGGGGCAGAGAGAGAGGGAGACACAGAATCGGAAGCAGGCTCCAGGCTCTGAGCCATCAGCCCAGAGCCCGTTGCGGGGCTCG